ACTCTCTCTCTCCCTCAGTCTCTCTTTTTCACACTGACTTATTCGGTTTCTCTCTTTTTCCATTTCGCTCTCTCCCTTTCCTCATCCTCTCTTTCTTTTCCTCCCTCTCACCCTCTCCCTGTCTCTCTTTCCATGACTTTCACTCACTCAACTGACCAATTACCGTAAGGCTGAGAAAGTTAAGGTGTGTAGAAACATGAGGAAGCTCTCTCTCTTACTTTCTCCCTCTCTCTCACTCTCTCCCTCCCTCTCTCTCACTCTCTCCCTCCCTCTCTCTCACTCTCCCCCTACCTCTCTCTCACTCTCCCCCTCTCTCTCACTCTCCCTCTCTCTTTCATACTTTCGTTCCTTCACTCTCAATTTTTCCCCTCTCCCTTTCACACTCACTTTCTCACTTTCTCACATAATTTCTCTCAATACTCACCAATTATCGTAAGGTTCACGAAGTTAGTGTGTGTAGGAGACTTGAAGAAATCAACCCTACACTCATATACGTCCGCCTGTGTGACCGTCAGGTTGTGGAGGGTGAGGGTAGCTGCTCCTCTGCTTACGGTCAAACTACCTTCGTTCTGCCGGATGTCTGACCGCATCTGGGGTACCCGACCGTCGTGGCTGTGTGAGAGAGAGAGAGAGGAGGAGTGTTAGTTTGAGAGAGAGAGAGAGAGAGAGGGGGGTGCTGGGATGGCTAGACTGGGGTGTTGGAGGAAGACTGGGTGTTGACTGGGGGAAACTGAAGGGGTAAGACTATATACTGGGGTATAGAGAAACTGACCTGAATACTGAGGTACTGGGATAGAGGAGTAATTCACCCATATACTGGGGTACCGGGGGAGGGAGGGAGTAACTCACCTATATACTGGGGTACTGGGGGAGGGAGGGAGTAACTCACCTATATACTGGGGTACCGGGGGAGGGGGGGAGTATCTCACCTGAATACCGGGGTTCTCACGTCCTTCTTGTACCAGAGGATCAGCTTGGGTCTGTCCCCAGGAGTGCGCGGGTTAAGGTAACACGGCAGGTCTGTGGAGCGGCCTGTTACCCCTGTCACTGACCACACTGTAACAACAATAACAAACTATTAATACTTTTTGTTAGGTCTTAGTGGCACCAAATTATTAATATTTCTTGTTTATGTTTTTGTGCAATATTAACAACACAATCTATTGTACACAAACAATTAATATTTTTGTTAATTAATAGTAACAACATTAATAATACTTTTGTTAATTTGTAGGGATCCAACACCACGGTATCAACAGTAACACAAATTATTAATATTTTTTTAATTGTTAGTGAGACATCCATATTGTATTTACTTTTGTTAATTCGCAACGAGAACAAACTATTAATTTTGTTAATTCATAATATAACAAGGAAGCTATTCATACCAAAGTATAAAAGTATACAACACTCACGGTGTAACTTACAACCAAATTTTAACTTTTTCACGATACTTTTTCTGAAACAAGAAACTGAATCATAATTTATTTTGTTGTTGGAAAATTAATTAGCAATTGTCTATAGAAGAACAATTACAAAATATTAATACTTTATCTAAATCCATTAAGTAATTTACTACTTTCACATACATAAAGTAAATATTCAAATACTTTTTACATGAATCACAAAGACATTTTCTACTCTACAATACAACCCAACAAAATATAACTTTTCTTTCAAAAAACACAATTTATTCTTACTCCAATATACTGTACACTAAATTATTTCCAAAATCACAATAATATTTTCGAATCCTAAACCACCAATTTTTGTATATAGTCGCATCACAAACATGTCAATCACTGTGACATTTTGTTAGCTAGTGAACAATAACAATAACTTAATTGGTTATATTCTTTGTCTGGTGGATGGAATTTATGCAGGTGAGAGAGACAGTTCTATACATAGGTAGAATGACGTATTGCCATATCAATATTATTTCATTAGAAGGGTCACCTGATGATTCAATATCCTAATGCTAACTGAGGTCATGTCATGTCAAGTTAGGTGAGGTTAGGTTAGGTTAGCATTACCGTGGATAATCATTCGGTGTAATAAACTGGGGAGCAAATCTTCAGGCAATCACACTAAACACAACCACACATTATATTACGACTCACAAACTCACTTTAACCAGATAGGAGCCACTTGCGTCTGAAACCACTGGTGATGTACATTATTACAGGTACAGCTTTTTACAGAAACAGCTTATTACAGGTACAGCTTATTATAGGTACAGCTTATTACAGGTACAGCTTATTATAGGTACAGCTTATTACAGGTAAAGACTATTACAGTACCACCTTAATATTGGGATAATTTACTTTAAACTTCCTAACTTAGTAAAGCAACATCAACATTGTGTCTCCTCATTAGCTTACTCAAACAACTTCCTGACATACATAACTTATTAACCTTACTTAAACAACCTCCTAACTTACATAAAAAGGTTTATAATTTAACTTAAATAACTTCCCAGCTGAAAAGAATTTTCTAATACTTAAATAACTTCCTAATTACTTTTAAAAACTTTATAGATTAATCAAAAAAATTAATTTACTTAAATAACTTCTCTAACTTACTTAAACAATTTCCTTAACTTACTTAAACAATTTCCCTAATTTACTCCATCAACATGAACATTGTGTCTCTTCCTTAACTTACTTAAACAACTTTCTTATACAACATCACTCCCATTTAAAACCACCAAAATATTTCTTCTTTTGATTTTCTGACATCCGCAACAACATTTCCTTTTCCTTTAATTCAACACATTAAGTAGTGTTGAAAGACATAGGAGGAAAGTACAGGGGAGAGGAGAGGCAGGGAAGCTTTATATTAAAGTATATTTTAGTTTTACACTTCTACTCTAAACTACATTAGGGACACCTGCCCAACACATGCCCACTTGCCCGTCTACTCACTCGCCCATCTGCTCACCCGCCCATCAGCCCATTCCCCAACCTGCTCAATAGCCTACTTGCCCAGCCGCCTCCCTGCCAACCAACCCACACTTCTATGTACATAAACGCAGCCATCACCGCAACACTGCTTAGAAATAGTGGTTTGTGGAAAATAAAAAAATTGAGATTTAAGGGAAGATATCGGAGTGCATGTTAATGAGGTGTTTGTGAATGCAAATGAACCTGTTTTAATCCACGAGTCGAAAAATGAACTAAAAAGAACTGGGATGAGTGTGATTGGGTGTTATCCTTGAGTGAAGCAAGGGAAAGCACTATAGATTTCTGTTCATAGATAGATAGATAGATAGATAGATAGATAGATAGATAGATAGATAGATAGATATAATTTAAGTCGAAATATAACAGACTACAATGAAGCTTGAGAAAAAAAAATCAAATTATTTCCATTGCTTGAATAACAAACAAAGAAATACAAATATGGGATACAAGGAGCGAGGTACATGGAGCGGGGTACATGGAGGGAGGTACAAGGAGGGAGGTACAAGGAGGGAGGTACAAGGAGCAAGGTACAAGGAGCGAGGTACAAGGAGGGAGGTACTAGGAGCGAGGTACATGGAGCGAGGTACATGGAGCGAGGTACAAGGAGCGAGGTACAAGGGCAGTACATGGAGCAGGTACAAGGTACAAGGGGGTACATGGAGCAGTACATGGGAGCCAATTTACATGGGCAGTACATGGGGAGGTACAAGGAGGAGTACATGGAGCAGAGATGTGGGCTTGAATGCATGGAGCGAGGGTACAGAGAGCAGGTGCATGGAGTGGGGTACATGGGCAGTATGGAGGAGTACAAGGAGCAAGGTACATGGGCGAGATACATGGGCAGAGATACATGGGCAATTGAGGTACATGGGCAGTACATGGGAGAAGTACATGGAGCAGGTGGGCAGTGCATGGAGCGAGGTACAAGGGCAGGTACATGGAGGAGCGAGGTGGGCATGGAGAGATACATGGAGCAGATACATGGAGCAGAGGTACAAGGAGGAGGTACATGGAGCGGTACATGGGCAGCGAGATACATGGAGGAGGCACATGGAGTGAGGCTATGGAGCGAGATACATGGGGAGTACATGGAGCTGGAGTGAGATACAAGGAGCATGGAGGCGAGATACATGGAGCAGAGAATACATGGAGCGAGATACAGGAGCGAAATACATGATACATGGAAGCGGAGCGAGATACATGGGCAGGCTCCACATGGAGAGTACAAGGAGCGAGGTACAGGAGAGGCTGGGCAGGTATGGAGAGGTACATACATGGAGCAGTACATGGGCGAGGCATGGGTGAGGTACATGGGCAGTACATGGGCGAGTACATGGAGCTTGACACATGGAGGCAGGCACACATGGAGTGGTATGGAGCAGGTACATGCAGGTACAAGGCAGGCAGGCAGTACAAGGGCAGGTACATGGAGGTACATGGAGTGAGGTACATGGGCAGGGTACATGGAGGCAACCATGGGCAGGTGGAGGGGAGGTAGCAGGAAGGGAGGTATATGGAGCGAGGTATGGAGCGAGGTACATGGAGGGCATGGAGGGAGGTACATGAGTGCGAGGTACATGGGCAGTACATGGAGCGAGTGCATGGAGCGAGGAACAAGGAGTGTGGTGTATGGCGGGCGGTACATGGAGCGAGGTACATGGAGCGAGGTACATGGAGTGAGGCATATGGAGCGAGGCAATTTACAGGAGCTTGAGGTATGGGCAGAGATACATGGAGCGATACGTAGGCAGTACATGGAGCGAGGTACAAGGAGCTTGAGGTACAGCGAGGTACAAGGAGGGAGGTACATGGAGCCGAGGTACATGGTACATGGTGCAAGGTACATGGAGCGAGGTACATGGGCGTGATGGAGCGAGGTACATGGGAGGTACATGGAGGAGGTACATGGAGCGAGGTACATGGAGGGAGGAGCGAGGAGGAGCGAGGCAAGGAGCGAGGTACATGGAGGGGTACAAGAGGTATGGAGCGAGAGGTACAAGGAGCGAGGTAATGGAGCGAGGTGCAGGAGCGGAGGTACATGGTGCGAGGTGGAGCGAGGCACATGCGAGGTACATGGAGGAGGTGCAAGGAGCAAGTGCAGGAGCGAGTGTACGGAGGCATGGAGGGTACAGGGAGGTACAAGGAGCGAGGAACAAGGAGGTACAAGGAGCGAGGTACATGGAGGGAGGCACATGGAGGAGGTACAGGAGCGAGGTACAAGGAGGGAGGTACATGGAGTGAGGTGCATGGGAGTGAGGGATGGTGCATGGAGGAGGTACAAGGGAGTGTGGTACAAGGAGCCGAGGTATAGGAGCGGGAGGGAGGTACAAGGAGGAGGTGAGGCAGTGCAAGGAGCGAGGTACAAGGCAGTGGGAGGTACAAGGAGCGAGGTATAAGGAGGAGGTGAAGGGCGAGGTACAGGAGCGAGGTACAAGGAGGAGGTACAAGGGGAGCGAGGTACAAGGAGGAGGCACAAGGAGTACAAGGAGCGAGGGTACAAGGAGTGAGGGGCGAGGTACAAGGAGGGGGAGGTACAAGGAGCGAGGGGAGAGAGGAGGCACAAGGAGCGAGGTACAAGGAGCGAGGTACAAGGAGACAAGGAGGAGGGCAGGAGCGAGGTACAAGGAGGGAGGTGTACAAGGAGCGAGGTACAAGGGCAGGTGCATGGAGGAGGTGCAAGGAGCGAGGTACAAGGAGGAGGCAAGGAGGGAGGTGCGGGTACAAGGAGGGGCGGGCAGGAGGAGGTCTGAAGCGAGGTACAGGGCGAGGTACAAGGAGGAGGTACAGGAGGGAGGTAAGGTGTACAGGGCGAGGCACAAGGAGCGAGGTACAAAGGAGCGAGTGCAAGGAGGGGGGAAGTACAGGAGAGGTACAGCTGAGGACAAGGAGCGAGGTACAAGGAGCGAGGTACAAGGAGCGAGGTACAAGGAGCGAGGTGGAGGGAGGGAGTAACACGTACAGCACAGGTTGACACAAGGTGCCAGGAGTCTTGGTTCGCTCTCTCTTATCAGGATATTTCTTCATGTTTACGGCCTGTTGGTGGAGATATGATTACACGCCTACACAAGAGTCTCCAGGGTTAGTATATTTCTT